ATGCCAACACAGAAAGGCAGTAAAGATACTAACAAAGACCCTGTGCGTTGGCTCAGTTCTCGACGACAACCAGTTTCTAGTTTTGTCGTCGAGATTGTGCGAGCGAGACGAAAGGTGATGGATTGCAATTGGTGTGACCGCGCGATAATCTACCCGTATAGATAGCTGGGACACCCTCCTAGTTTAACCGTGTCCCAGGCGCTCGACGAAATCATCACGCAGTTTTCCCGATGGTAATTCCGGTCACGCTTCCACGCTTTTGCAATGCGCGATTGGGATTGATTAATTAAGTTCAGTATGGAAACTTGATAAATTAGTATGGTAACGCCTTCCATTTTACCTCGTCACATTATTATATAGAACTTCCGAGATTTAGTAGCAGGCAATCTGGAAAAGTGAATGATAAGGGTTGAAATGATGGAGAAGTCACCTCGTACTCAACAAGTTAGGAGATCACTCTATTCAGACTGATGGAAAGCATCGTCAAATCCCAGTTATCGGCGCTCACGTTGTTGGGGGAAGGGGGCATTCAAGTGAATGAGCCACTTTCACCTGCTTGGAACCTGGCCCAAAGTAGGGAAAGGGATCCTGGGGTGAATGTGAGCGATTTTTGTTCTCTCTGGCATTCTTCCGCTGCTAGTCTACAAGAGGTTTTTGAATGCCCTGATTTGAACGTTGCCCCCAACGACATGGGCGCTTGTCCAAGAGAGGGTCGTGTTTGTGGCTTTTGAATTGGGATAATTGGGATTGTAATTGAGTCCTTTAGCTCGTATTGAAGAAGATTAAGGGGGTAGCGTTTGCTGACGGGCTTGTCGTTTTTGCGGGTATGTAGGAAATTTTATCTAGTGTACCGTAATGTAAGCGACGGTACTGGTGACGAGGGCGTCGTGTAGGGTAAGTGAAAGGAAGGAAAAAAGCCAACGGCCAATGTTATGGCAACGGAGGTGCGCATTTCCGCGCTCAGTTCAGGGTTAGTGGACACGAAGAAGAAATGTTATGTTTGAGAATCAGGCGAAGTGGGGGCTGAAGAACATGATTGTCCATACGTGTATGAGTTTAAGGCCTTAAATACCACAGCCTTAAGTCATTGTAGTCTGATACATGCTCAAACACCTTCAGGGATCTGGACAAAATTGAAAGAATGGCCTATACCAAATTACTGCCCCTCACATTTTTCACAAATTCTCCTGAGTGAACCATGAGCCGGGTTGAAGATTCCTCTGGCTTGAAAAATATGCACTTTCTACGTCACAAAGTTAACTATATTGAATATCACATCCTTAGATAGATTGAATCGGCAACCTGACGAGTGGATGATGAGTTTACTCTCTGATAACCTAGAAGAAGCACCAGTTGGCAGAGTGGCCAGTCAGAATGCCTTCAGCCCTTTAAGGCAAGTGTTTCAGGAGAGCTGCCCTCAGACCGTGGAGAAAATCGGAAAGACCGATGAGCTCATGTACAATCCCGTGAGAGCGAACGACATCACGTGGAACTTCGAGAAATTCCTCATCGATAGACAGGTAAACGCTTTTTGGAAAAGGTCTTGGGGGGGTTAAAAGTAACCGCTTCTTCATTGAACAATTTTTTATAACTACATCTTCCTTCTTCTTTTTATTGGCATGGTTTTGACCCAAACTCTCACTTTTCAGGGTCGCCCACGATTCCGTTTCCATCCAACTGCATGGAGTCACGGTGACGTCGTTCAACCTTTCATTGAACAACTTTTGAACGAGGATTTCTAGAAAATTCCCTTCTATCTCATCTCATTTTCGTTTCTGATTGCAATTTGTCGTGATCGCCCGATATACCTGTCGATAGTGCTGACCCAGTTTTGTTTGTCTTTAGATGATTTCTTGTTCGCCGAATGGTAGTGTAAGTAACTCTCCCTTCGGGTTGTATGTATAGCCGGTCTATTGCTTGTCTGTAGTCGGACTGAGCTTCTAGCACCACTGAGATATGTTGTATCACTAGGGAAGTTTCATCTCAGTGGAGCGTAGTATTTTCGATGCCTTGTAACTACTGTACTTGATCATATCAGAATGATAAATGAGTCTAATGAAGTTTGTCCAAATTCGTCCAGGTTTGTCCTAGTCTGAAGACAAAAACTCGCTGAAACTGACCTTCTTAAACGGATGGTCTTAATGTTAAAATGTGAGACGTGAAGAACCCGACGATTTTTTTTCAATGATCAAACTCTCAGTTGGAATTTTGAGGTTTTTTGAGAAAGTATTAGGGCCAAGTGGACCTTCTGAGCCACAAATTGTAGAAGAAAAAAAGTTGAGCGAAAAAGAATAGTTCCAGTACTCCCCACAGAAAAGTGAGAAATGCAGGGCGTAATCAGTTCAAGAAGGGTTTGATTCACATTAAGGTGGTGGGGAAGCCAAAAAAGATCACCCACCCCTCGCGCAGTTACCAAACCTTCAGCCGCGCAGGGTGCAGTTGTCGATGGATGGCCTATGACAAATTATTCCTTAGATGTCCACACCATGAGCAGGTGTAGACCCCACTTCACAGACCTCACCGACCTCAGAATATGACGTTATCTGCCATCACGGTCAGTCTCAACGAGGCCTACCGTAATCACTAAAGCTTGTGCTGCTACATGAATTCTACCATCGTTACCTGGTGGATAGCGACGGCGGTTTCTAGAGACAGGTGCCTGTAAGGCCAGGTCGCCCTTTTGCCAGCATTTCGGAGGTTTCGTGCTGGTCCGTCAATATAACCTCAAGCGCTAGCTTGCACCATGTTCCCGTGGGAGAATCTTCTGTTGTCGTCGTGGTAAGAAGGCTACTATGGAGTTTTTGATAGATTGAAAGGTGTTCCTTCAATTTCCAGTTCTTGGGCTGGGTGGTAAAGTAGGCCAGGGCGGAGTGAGGAAAAGTTCATAGACTTGTTAAGGTTTGAACAGCACTCTGAGCTACTCAACGTGCGCGTAGTTAGCAGCGGCATTGCCACTGCACCGCTTCTGGCCCGACGAATGCGCCGATGGAAAGTGATACTAGCTGTAAGGAAAGGGCGCTATCGCAATATACGAGGATTCTTCAAGACTAAGTCCAGGGAGAGCAGAAATTCCGAGGGAAACGAAATGCACACACGCACCCTGGAATGCTCGCCTCTCCTGCTTAAAACCGGGAACAATCAGTCCAGGAATCCAATGCTCGCAGACCTACCCGACTTTCACGACAAAAAGAAACGTTCTACGGTTTCAACGCAATGCCAACACAATACTACTTCTGTATATCGCGCCATACAGCGCCTAATAAAGTGTTAACCATAGCGGAGCACATGAGTGGAGAGGATGGGAGTGCAAAATGGGGTGTTTGATTTCTTCACGGGCAGCTCACAAACGTTGGCAAGCCTTTTACACTAGCTGTCTTTGTGGCTGATTTTGAATGTTCCATCTTATCTCCAGCAGCTAACGGTCTCGTGACCAAGGTAACTGTATGGAATGGCCCAGAGAGGCAGGGCGGGAATGAGTGCAGGAATCCAATGCTCGCAGACGTACCGTGAGCGCTGTTTACAACGATCACATGGAATCGTTAAAACAACCGATTGACGTAGTTCGAGAAGTTCTACAATAAACTAGTTCTCGCAAGTGATCGCATGCTTTCCCCCGTAGTAACAGCTTCCCGAACAACGGAAATTCATCGAGTTATCTATCACTGCGGTTACACTTATTATAATGCCATGTAATGTGCCGTCTTGGTCACCACTTAAATTGGATAAAAACCTTAATTAATGGTTCTAGACACTTATGAGTGTAGAGAATGTTACTGCTCAGTTTTGTGGGATGGCATTCAGAACTAAGGCTCAGCGATTCCGAACACCGCTGTAAAGGATAAAGCATAAAGCAGCTGAGTGCTAACTTCAGCAACGGCTCCTTTAAATGTGATTTGTCCTACTGTACGACCATGTACACTCCTCGCTGTTCATACTGTAGCTGCCAGCTAAATTCACCATATTTGTCGTCCTAGACAAGCCTGTTCCTATGTACTAGAATGGATGGGTAATTATTTAAAACTGGCGATATCGGTTCAGAAATTAACCATGGAAAGTGCGCTAACAGAAGAGTGACATTCTCTCCGCAACCTTAGACGAAAATAATTGCTGAAGGCCGGTGTCGATTAGATGAATAGCCCTCGATTCTTCAGTTGGTCGATTTTTTAAACTGTCAATATCATGCTTTAGTCTGCGAAATGGGTTTCTAGTTGAGCGCTCGAGTTTACAGAAAATGTAGGGATATCTAATCGGCTACAGCTCACGGAGTTTCGCCGTATTTCAAAGAAGAGCATGTGAACATCACCCACACTCGAAAGGCCAGTTGGAAAAGGAAAGTTTTGAAAAGGTTGTAAAAGGGTAACGATGGTATGAACCTTCTGTGACTTCCTACTTTCATAGCAAAAGGCAACAGAGATGTAGCATTCCGTCTTTACGGACTATGAACGGCCTCCCGCGCTCCTGCGCACTTTATGCAAACTAGAGTTGGGCGATGCACGGGGTCAAAATACAAGGACAAAAATCGCTAGGGATATGGGGAGTAGGGTAAGCGATCGGCGCGCTATGCTTCAACGGAAGGAAAGGAGCCTGCATCCTGGCGCACAATCCATGAATCGAACGTGGACCAGGACAACCGAGTTTTTCATCGTGCCGTGGTATCAAATTCATCCAAGATGGAAAAGATGGTTTTCTACGCATGTTTGCACCGACGGAGCTGAACATGCATTCAGGGTAACTAATACCTTGAGCGAAGAAATCAAAAAATCCACCCGTTTCGAGAGGGCACTCCTGGAATGTGTTGGATCAATAGTATCTATATTATTATTTTTATATTTGTTGCCTAGTGGTTCAGTAAAACTCAACTTCATTTTCGTACTTCAACATCCTGGATCGCTACCAGGAGTTTCCGAACGGAAGGCCGCTGCAAAGCTTATTCAGTTAGTAATGAAACTTTGAGGAGTTAGGTTAGCATAGTGGCGCATTACCCCACTTGTCAGATGTGATTTGGGGGTCAAATTCGAATTTGAAACCTACTCTCATCAATCGAATCTTTTTCTTTCTGATGAAGAAAAGAAGTGGTCTAACTGGGACCATACTTTAGTTGGACAAAAGAAACACTCTCTACTATATTGGCTGACACGTACAATACGGTATAGGCCAAAATGCCAATACCACTTAAAAATTCGGCCATGGACGCACATTCTCCCAATTACTACGTCTCAACATCGGCGGAATACAACTGAAAGAATCCTTGTCTCCGTCTTTCTTGGAACCTTGTCATTATCACATGGGTTGTGGCACTATCGCAACATACGGGTGCACTCTCCTGAACTAAGATTAGGAGGAGGCAAAAAGTTTGGGAAACTGAAAAGTGCTCACGCATGTTGGAGCCAATCCTCCTCCGCCTAAGACTTAATTCCCTTTTTGTTAAAAAAGCAGCTATCTATCGCGATTCCTAAAGCGCTACCACCACTATGATGCCGCACCCTGCAATAGTTAACCCATTCGTGACAATGTCAGCCACCGGTGGCTGACAAAGCTCTCACTCGGGACAATGGTATTACTGTGGCTGCAGGGCTTGAAATGGAATTTGGAAAGTTTTCTTCCATGGAAAGAATCTTCATACCCTCGCTCATCTACGCCAGCCCTGGGCAGAGGAAATCTCCCTTCACTCGGATTTTATTGAAGAAAAATCTCTGACGCTGCTGCTATTGCGCAATCCGCGCGGTCACGAAATTAATTCTGTGCCTTACAGGAATTTATAGGGAGATTGAGGTAAGGGATTTTTTATGGCGCTGATGGTCCGCTCAACAGTGACCTTGGAAAGTTGAGGTTAAACCGTTCATGGGATTTCACTCCATAATTCACTAGTCTGGGTGGCAGTTAGCCAAGCTCGGGTTCATTTTATGTGAATAAAAACCATGGCGTCATGAACGCTTTTCGGCCTTTGAAAGGGTCAAATTGTTTCGAAAATCCAGGCAAAATAAGTATTTCATCACAAAAAACCTGTCAGGCACAGAGGTAATAACAACACCTGAAAGACACTGATCAAAAGCGATTGACTTATTTTTTACGTTCACCGCCACATAATCCGACCGCGCAGACTACGTGGCAGTGCCTTTTCCTCGCCACGGCATAAGAGAAGATGCTGGGTGCTCGTGAGACGTGGCGCCAGACAATTGAGACCAAAGTGCGGTCAACGTCATCCCACGCACTATCTTTTGTAGCTGCCAAGCTTCGATCGCCGCTGTTGATCGAAGATCAGGGGTATCGCAGCATTTGTCGAGGCGTCAAAGACCATCACATCATGCTTTTTGGCAGCGATCACTTCGAGAAGGCCATGACCGATTGATTTATGGCGCATCAAAACATTATTTGGCGTCATGTCGTAAGGGGGGGGGGACATTCAATTGAGTAAATCACTTTCGGTACTCGGGGCCAAGCTTAGGCAAAAAGGGATTCTGAGGGAGGACGTGAGTAATTCATGCTCTCTTTGACCTTTCTTCTCTCTCCTGGATTTAGCTTTACTGTATTGTCCGCCTAATACAATGGGCCCTGTTTTGACTGTCTGCCGCCCCCTCCCCCCAAGGCCATGTGCTCCATTATTTTCTTAAAATTAGCTGCGCAACGATTGCATTTCTTCATACAGATGATTTCAGGCTATTTTTGTGTCCCATTAGCGAATTAGCCCTACTGCGCTATTTTCATTCGTAGCCTTGAAAATGACGTGTATTTTGTTTGCATC